TCAAGAGAATGCTTTGAGGAACTTTGACAATTTTGGACAAACTTCTTGTACCAACACAAATTATTTGTAAATAGAATTTGTTGAGGATGATAATGAGAACTAATATCCACCAAAACCACTTCCATATCTTGAAAATTGAGAGAAATATGCACTTGTGACCAATGGGAACAAAGTCTTATCCAAGCATGACAACCTCTTCAATCAACTCCTTGTACTTTTCAACCAAATTTGATAACCTTGAAATGCGGTGAACCAAAATAAACTTGCCATGAAATTTATTCCAAACAAATCCAATGGTGAAGTTTGAACTCCTCAAGATTTATTGACTAGGGCATGGAAATAAACTCATGAACCCATGGGGTAGCTTGTTAAATCTCATTGCCTTTACCTACATGGATAGCAAGCAAGACAAATCAACATTGAATTTCATTAGTTAAAAGAAGAAATAAAGACAAAAAATATTCATGATCACAAAAGAACATAAGTCAAGGTGCTTGGTGATTCCTCAAAAGGGCAAAGCTAAATATAGGGAGGGGAACCAAGAATCCTAGTATGATCTTGTTGTGAATGAATCAACATGGTATGATGAAGGGATCTTAGGGGGGGAAATTGGGGTACAACATGGATGAATTGCCTTTTTATTTTGTTGAGAACGAAGGATTCCGTCATTTTATGAGTGTTACACAACCTAGGTTCCCACTTCCAGGAAGGATTTCAATTGCTAGAGATTGTTTGAGTCTTTACGTGAGTGAGAAACATACGTTAAGAAGCATGTTTACTAAAACAAATCAAAGTGTCTGTCTAACAACTGATGCTTGGACTTCTGTGCAAAATATTAATTATATGGTTCTTAATGCGCATTTCATTGATCAAGACTGGAAGTTGTATAAAAGGATTCTCAACTTTTGTCCAATAACTTCTCATAAAGGGGGGATAATTGGGAAAAAGATTGAAAAGTGTTTGGAGGGTTGGGTGATAGATAAGGTTTTCCCCATCATAATTGATAATGCTTCTTCAAACGATGTTGATATCGCTTACCTAAAAAATAGAATGGAGGATTGGAATTCTCATCCATTAAAAAGGGAGCATTTACATATTAGATGTTGTGCTCACATTCTTAACCTTGTTGTCAATGATGGGTTGAAGTTAAAGCGCATGCATTCTTCACTTTCCAAAATTAGGAGAGTGGTTCGGTATGTTCGTCAGTCACCTGGTTGTTTAGATAGGTTTAGGACATGTATTAAAGAAGTTAGGATACAAGACAAGTCTACTGTGAAGTATGATTGTCCCACTAGGTGGAACTCCACATACCTTATGCTTGAAAGTGCATTGAAGTTTCAAAAATCCTTTAAGAGGTTAGGTGAGAAATGTGTTGAGTATGCGATGTTGGAAGGTGTGTCCCAAATAATGAGGATTGGGATAATGCCAAGTGTTTTGTGAAATTCTTAAAGTTGTTTTTTGAAATCACTACAAAGGTGTCAGGTTCTACTTATGTAACATCTTCTACTTATTTCATGGAACATTGTACGATATTGGGGGCATTAAAGACTTGGAAGGAATGTCATAAAGATGTCACATTACTTACGAATATGGCTAATGCTATGGATGATAAATATAGTACTTATTGGAGAGAAGTCAAAAAGATGAATATACTAGTCTTTATTGCTGTAATTTTTTATCCTCGACGTAAGTTCCAATTTATTAGGTGGGGATTGGATAAGTTTTATGAGAAGAAAGTTGATGATTTTTTGTGTGATAAGGTGAAACAAACATTAAACAAAATGTTTGAAATTTATAGTATTTTCTTAAGTAAAGACCAAGCCAAAAGTGTTGCACAAGAAATTGGGCTATCGGAAGTTGTTACATCTTCTGATCATATGGATGATCAATTTGAGAATGACATGGACCAAGATTCAAATTTAAATAAAAATGAAATGGATTTGTATCTCATGGAGATGAGGGAGAAAAAAAGTACGGATTTTGACATCTTGAATTGGTGGAAGGTAAATTCCACCAAATACCATACTCTTGGTTTAATAGCTAGAGATATCTTGGCTATGTCAATATCAACTATTGCTTCGGAGTCAACGTTTAGCACAGGGGGTATAGTTCTTAGTTGTTATAGGAGCTCTCTTACACCCCATACCGTTGAAGCTTTAATATATGCACAAAATTGGTTAAGATCCTCTCCTTTGAAAGTGGATATTGAAGAGCACTTGGAAGACTTGGAGAAACTCGAATAAGGTATATGTTGTAAACTTTGTTTATGAATATATTTTATTCAATTGTTGGTTTTGTCTAATATTTGGTAATATATTTGATCATTTTTAGAAATGGCTCCAATCCCACAAGTAAATGAGGGACTTTCTGATATTGAATCTGATTAGAGACTTGCTTGAAAAAATGGTATGTTTTATTTGGAGTAGATTCTTTTTGTTTTTGTTTTGTCTATAATTGGTTTTTGTTTATAGTGTTATATGGCATGGTTTTACTTTTTGTAGCAGGTTTTGGAATCCAATATTTATAATTATTTACAACTTGGTTTGTGTTTTGAAGGTTATTGCTTGAAGGTGATTTATAACTTGGCAGCTCAGTCCAAGAAGCAACAAGAAACAAAGGAAGAAACAAATTATTAGTGCTTTTGATGGCTTCAAAGTCCTTCGTTTGAATACTATTTTAATGGTTAATTTATGTATTGAAATGAATACTACTTTGATGGTTAATTTGATGCTTTTGATTATTAGTGATTGAATACAACTTTGATGGTTAATTTATGTATTAAATACTATTTTCATGTCAACTATTTTGAATATTGCATTTGATTGCATACTATTTTAATTATTGTCAAATTGTGTGCAAGAAGAAAAAACTCACATTACTGTCAAATTGTGAGAATATATGAAAGATAATTGTAACAACAGTAGTGTTACCGCATGTGAGTATTTATGTGTTATGCATTTATACATTTAACAAAAGCGAACCAATCCAAATCGCATTGGTTTGGTTTGGGTTTTTTTTCTCAATGAACCAAACCAAACTGAACTGCATATTTTTTCTCTTGAGGTTCAGATGAATTTTTTCTTCAAAACCTTTCAAACCGCACTACAAACACCCCTAATTAGCCATAATAATCATAAGAATTTACAGCAAAAACTATCTTTATACGTAGAATAAATAAATCGAATAAAGTGATAATTTATATGAAACAAATTCTATATAATATTATATATTAATAAAAGGAGAATACTTAAATATAATTTTATAAATGTGATTTAAAAATATAAAAAATATATTTAAATATTTTAAAAAATAAAATAAGAAGAAATTACATATATGTAAGAGAAAATTATACATTTATCATATTTTCATTAAAAAAAAATTATAACTCACAATTAAAAAAATACACTTAATTTTTTTCTTAATAAAATATGTTTGATGTTCTAACAAAAACAAATTACATTGATACAATATAATATTTAAAAAAAAACAGTAACACACTAGATTTAAATAATGTATTCGTGTATTTTAACTTTATTATATTAAGATAAACATGTAGTTGATTGATCCGATCTTTTTTTGCACATAAAGAAAAAAATTAAATAACATGTTCTAGTGTTTTTTAAATAAAAGTTATTAGCCTTTATTTTTATAAAGCTATTGAATTTTTATTTAAAATTAAAAAATGTTAATTTTAAAATAACATACAAAAAGGTTTACTTAAAATTTAATTTAATAAATAAATAATTAAAAATTAGAGTTATTATAGTCATTATGTAAATATACATATTTCTTTTGTGAATTTTTTATTTCAACCCATACTTAAAAGAAAGACTATACATAATTCTTAAAATATTCTTCTGAAACCGAAAATATTTTTTTATATGTATTTTTTTTTTTTGTTAAAATCGAATGAAAATCAAAAATACACTTTTGCAATAAATCGAAGATACACTTTTGATTTTATAGTGATAGTTGATTTGTTGATGTTTTGTACTTATTCTTAAAATCTGATAGTTGATATGTTTAATTATATTGATGTTATATCTATCATATAAACCAAATTATTATATGAAAACAAATGGAAAGATTACAAGGGGAATACTCAGTCAAACATAAAAAAGTTACAAAGTTCATCAGCGTCAATTATATGGGCATGTGGATAAAAATACGACAAAAGTAGACATTAAGAGTGATAGAAGAAAAAATAGTTCTAATAGCGTACATATCTAAAAAAGAAAAACGGAAGTACATTTCTCATTTATTTCAATTCACTTTTGAAATAAAATTAATTATAAAATAAAATAAATCTCAAAAACGAATGAATTATATATTCGTAAATGTATATCAGAAATATATTTTCGATTTCATGAACACTTTTTAAATTTTACATAATTCACTAAAAAAAATATAAAATAGGATAAAAAATTCTTTTTCTTTTTTCTTATTTTGTAGTTTTTTTTTCTTTGACTTTTTTTATAAGATATAACAAACAACTAAATAAATATTCCTTTTAATACTCTCTTTCTTTTCTTTTACTTTCTTTCCTTTTATTTTCTCTTGTGATTCAAACATATCCTTAAAATTAAAGATTAAAAATAATTAAAAATATTCATATGAGCACAAACAATTTATCAATATAATTATATTTGAAATAAATTTCAATGTAATTTAATATGTTTAATGTGTTAATAGAAAAAAATCTTAATTATTTTTGTTTTTAATTTTAAGTATAACAATTTAATTAGATTCCGTACATATAAATTGCAATAAATATCAAGTCTTAAATAAATTTATATAATTATACCCCGCAATTAAGAATTCTCTAAACAAAATACTTGCCAATATTTTGAACTCTATTAGATGAACAAGGACATGAAGCATCCAATCTCATAAAAACAAAAATTTAATGTAATTGAATATATATATATATAATTGATAGAGTCAATGGGTAAGCATCCAATCTTCATTTCAATTCATTTCTCTAACGAGGTTTTATCACAATGGGGAGCATCGATAGAGCCAATGATATTGATAACACTCTTATCCAATCTCTGTTGCAAAAACAGGTTTCAGAGGAAGAAGAAGAAATATTTGGGAAGAAGCTATGGATTGAAACGAAGAAACTATGGATGATAGTGGGTCCCGCTATCTTGAGCAGCATCGCATCATTCACCATGAACGTGGTTAGTCAAGCCTTCGCGGGACACCTAGGTGAAGTTCAACTCGCCTCCATCACCATCGCCAACACTGTCATCGTTGGCTTCAACTTTGGCCTCCTCGTAAGCTCTTCTTCCTACCATTATATTATGCTGCAATTTTCTTGAGAAATGATGTGATGTTTTCTATGATGGAAAATATAGTTGGGAATGGCAAGCGCGTTGGAGACACTTTGTGGACAAGCGTTTGGTGCAAAACGACATAACATGTTAGGAATCTATCTGCAAAGATCATGGATTGTTCTCTTCGTATGTTGTTTTCTTCTGTTGCCGTTTTATGTGTTTGCTACTCCATTTCTGAAAGTCATAGGACAACCTCATGAGGTGGCGGAATCGAGTGGTATCGTAGCTATATGGCTTATACCATTGCATTTCAGTTTTGCGTTTCAGTTTCCTCTTCAGAGGTTTCTACAGTGCCAGCTGAAAACAGGTGTGATTGCATGGGTTTCTTTGTTGGGTTTAGTGGTGAATGTTGTATTGAGTTGGTTGTTGGTTTATGTTTGGGATTTTGGGCTTATTGGTGCTGCAATAGCTTTGGATGTTTCATGGTGGGTATTGGTATTTGGGATGTTTGGGTACACAGTTTGTGGGGGTTGTCCTTTGACTTGGAATGGTTTTTCAATGGAAGCATTTTGTGGCCTTTGGGAATTCTTCAAACTGTCATTAGCTTCAGGGGTGATGCTTTGTTTAGAGAATTGGTATTACAGGATACTGCTGCTTATGACAGGTCAGTTGGAAAATGCAACAGTTGCTGTTGATGCATTGTCTGTATGGTAAGTTATTAGTCACTAACAAGTATTTGAGCTTTACAAGTTTTATATTTATTAGTTATTACAGTATTGGAATTGGTTTTGCAGTATGACTATCAATGGATGGGAAATGATGATTCCTCTTGCCTTCTTTGCCGGTATCGGGTATGCTATTTTTACGGCTTTTTGAAACATAAACTACAGCTTTTTACTGGTCATTAAAGTTGAGCTCGATCATCTGGTCACATAATTATCGATTGTTAGAATGTTTGGATTGATTTTTGGAAGACCCAAAATCAATTTTAGAGGTGTCGAATGATTGCAGGGTGCGGGTGGCAAACGAACTTGGAGCAGGAAAAGGAAAATCAGCAAAATTTGCAATGCAAGTATCAGTGATACAATCAACAGTGGTTGGATTAATCTTGTGTGTTCTAATAATGATATTTCAAAGACAATTTGCATACATTTTCACCTCGAGTCCTTCTGTTCTTCAAGCTGTTAACGATATGTCAATTCTCTTGGCAGTCACCATTCTTCTCAATAGCATTCAACCTGTTCTATCAGGTAAAAAGGATCTATCAATTTAGAAAAATGGATTCCGTTATTGACTGCATGAACATCTCAACCATCCATTTTTATTATCAATTAACAATATCTTTTATATAATTGTTAATTTTTAAATCTGGACTATCAAAATTCAATTCAAATGTCTTAAACAAAATGATTGTGTGACTGCATCATCCACTGACTGTAGGGGATTCAGGTCCATCAACTTAATTCAAAAAGTAATTATAGTTAATACTTAATTATAAAAATGCATGCATTCTTGCAGGTGTAGCTGTTGGTTCAGGATGGCAAGTATTTGTGGCATATATAAATATTGGATGTTACTATTTAATTGGACTCCCACTTGGAATTATCATGGGATGGGTTTTCAACACTGGTGTTGAAGTAAGTAATAATAATTCATTAGAAAATCACTTATATTATGTTTGAGCTTTGAATAATATCTTAATATATGTTGACATTAGGGCATATGGGGTGGAATGATATTTGGTGGTACATTAATCCAAACATTGATACTCATCATAATAATAGTACGGTGTGATTGGAAAAAAGAGGTATACTTTATACACTTCAATTTAAACTTTAATTATGTAAAGTATGTAATGTAATTCTTTATTTTAATATATTCTACGGTATTATGTATTTGTTTTGATTGTATGAATTTGTGCAGGCAGAGAAGGCTGGCTCACGTGTAAACAAGTGGTCTGTAATAAGACCTAATGACCAATTGCAGATTAGTGATTAGTATTTGGATTAAGTTAAAATATTAGTTGATTTTTTTTTGCGTAAATGTTGTTTCAGCTTGTTAAGTGTCTGGTGTTAATTTTTTGTTATAATAAGACAATTATATATTCTTTAGTTGGATCGTCACTAATCAAATCTACTTTAAAAATCGATGATTCATTACTCCAAAAATAGCTTCTCTAGAATTTTCTTTCTTATTCATTTTTTTGTGTAATTTTCTTCCGACTCCGTGGTGTTATCCACTTTGTGTGGGTTCTTTTTGTTCTACATGAATATCCTAAAGAAGAAATAAAACTATGTTGTGATGTAATATTCAAAATTGTCTTTTAGGGTCTGAATGTGAGTTTAGATGGGGAGAAAGGGGAGAACCTTTAGAAAATGATCGAGTGGAAAGAATTGAAGGATTTTGATTGCAAATATTTTCAAGGATTTACTTTTATTTATAATATCAAACACTATAAAAAAAACTCTCATTTGCAATGTGAAATTCGCGCCACAACGTGAAAAATCATGTCACAATAATTAATTTGTTACGTGAACAATCACGTGGCAAATAAAGTGTTGCTTTGACTTCAGCGCCTGCTACGCCTGCTTTCACTGCCATTTAGGATTTCTGTGCAAGCAAGTTGCGACGTGATTTTCATGTCACAACTTTGTAACACCCCAACATTTTATTCAACTTTTGTTTTTTATAAATAAAAAAATAAGTTGCGACGTGATTTTCACGTCACTAATATCAGGTGACTCCCAATATTTAAGAAGTTCCTCGAAAACCTCTTTGCCTATCCAATTGGGACGGATACCCTGAAGTTTCCAACGCTCTCTAACACGCCACATTATATCAGAAAATCATCTTGAGGTTTTGTCATAATTAGTTTTTTTAATCAGATTCTCGTTCAATGGGTTCCACACACATTTTTCCTGCAATATTGTATGACATTAAAATAAATAGTTAGATAATTATAATGAAAAAGTCATTTAAATTACAATAATTAAAAAATAAATTAATTATATCTTAAATTTGTTAAACCAAGCTTCTTTATTTTTAACGTCTTTGAAGGTATTCCAAAATTGTTTATACATTTGCTGAATTATATATAATCTTGGCAGCAATCTGACTCGGCGAGAAACTAAACAATAATAATTTGAATTAGCAATATTAAATATAAATTTATATTAAAAATGAAAATGTATACTTAAATACAAATTTATAAATAAGAAACTTACGAGCTTCCTTCGAGACAAATCCAAATTCTCCTGTCAATGACATGAATCTCATTCGGATCATCATTCCTTCAAAGATCACTTCCATCCAACGCATTATCATCCACATCCACATCATCATCATCATCATCATCCAACTGCGCATGATCATCCTTATATGCAAGTACATGTGTGGGATGTGTGGTGCAGGATCCTCTAGTCTGTTTGGGATGTGGGATGCTGGATCCTCCAGTCTGTGTGGGATGTGGAGTGATGGATCCTCCAGTCCGCTGGAAAGATAAGGGTATCTGTATGGGATATGAGGTGTTGGATCCTCCAGTCTGTTGGAAGGATAAGGGCATCTGTGTGAGATATGGAAAATTGAGTCCTCCAATATGCTGGAAGGATGATGGCATTAGGGTCTGCGGGAAAAGAAACCAGGTGGCCTAACAAAAGATGGTACATGTTGTACCCTAAAATTTTCCCTCTCAATTTCTCAAGAATTCTCTCACAAGATATTCATTGATTCAAGACTACACAAGGTTTGATCAGCTCAATACACTTCCTCGAGCACTGATGACTCAAAATTAGAGTTTGAGTTTGTACAAGTATAATTGAACTTTTAATGTTTCATATGACTTTGATTGATCATTTTGGACTCCCAAGATTGCTCATGTCAAGTTTTAAGCTTTGGATCACATTTTTGCTCAGTCAATTGATCAGTTGACCTAAAATTAACTATATTGGGGGGAAAGTCAATTGTGGTCAATTTACAGTCAAATTTCATAATTATTGATCCATATCAATATTTTGAACTCATATATGTCAACTGATCAAGTTTGGATCACAATTCCTCAAGAAATTTGATCAGATCACCAAAAGGGTAAAATGGTAAAAATTAGGGTTTTGATTGAAGAGGCTTAATTTTTTACTGCTGACCAAATATATGACTTATTGTTTTGAGACATAATATTAAGGATTCAAATGTATCATTTTAACCTAATGGTATGGTTCAAAACACTTCCAAAGATCAATTGATTGATAGTTGAAATTCAGTCAACTGATAAAAAATCGACTGATACACTGAAAAGTCAAACTTTAACTTTTTGATTAAAATCAAGTTTCAAAAATAACATTTCATCAAGACATGTCAAAATATGAAGTTTTTTCATCAAGAAATCAAAATGTCAAATTTCATTTTGAAAAGTCAAAATTTCCAAGACTTAGAAATTTTTCCAAGTGTTGGAAATTTTACTTTTTTTCATAAATTTGTGCCAAGTTTTCACCGTGATGCAAGATGATTCAAGGAAAACTTTCAACATGAAAGTTGTAGATCTCAATGAGATCTAAAATATTGTAGGGCATTACTTTTCTAGAAATACTTGGACCTCAAGTTATTAATTCATAAAGACATGTTCATGAAACTAAAAACACTTAATGAAATTTTGTCCTAGTTAGGCAGATTTTTGACCTAACTTCATGGCAACTTTTTACCCAGTTCCAAATTTAATTTTCAAAAATTTCCAACATGAAGGTTATAGGGGATGCTACAAGCTTTATAAAATGTCAAAGAACTCATTGAGATCATACTATAGCTAAGAGAATCGAAGAGATGGAGTTAGGGTTTCATTCTTGAATTATAGGTCATTTTCTGATATGCAAGAACTCAAATCTTAAGCCCATGCTGCATAATATTTGCTTTGCAGACCTTAAACTTGTGTTTCACTCCATAATTAATGGTTTACACAACTGGTTGAGACATTATCCAATTGATTCTAGCTTTATCCAAATCAATTTGTCATTTTTGGAAGAAAGTAACATATCCATTTTTGTAAAGCAAGTTTTATGCACAAAGTCAGCTTCTTGAGCTCCTAACTTGTTTGCTCTGATTACACTTCATATACAAAGTCATAGGCATTGTGTTTAAATTGGTTAACAACTCCATGAACAAAAGTACAAGGCATGGAAACTTGTTTTGTCAAGAAAATCACATGTTGAGTTTAAACATGGATTTTGAATTCAGATCAACTTAAGCACTGCAAACCTTTTGCTAATAAATGGAGACACTATTTATAAGCTAAGACACGATTTTACAAGCCCTAAAACTCCCTAAAACTCCCCAAAACCAGAAATTGCAACACAATCACAAAAACTTGTCATTTCTGATTTTTGAATCCAATCTCCAAATCCCCTCGTGCGTTTCTTGGCCAAACTATCCCCAAAGCTTCTAATACACATATAGAAGCTATCCCAACCCCTGTTTTCAAACGGTAACACCATCTTCACCAAACTCCATTTTCAAAAATAGGGCATTGCATCTTGACTTCTCCAGACCCTTCCAGCCATTAATAACTTAAGTTAAGCATTGTATTAGTTTCCTGGAGACTTGAGGAAGCTAACCTGATCATCACAACTCCTTGAAAGCTGCTCAAACTCCCTACATGATTCCCAGTTTTAAGGTAAGTTTTCTCAACTTTGAACTCCTCATACAAGCATCATTAATGGTTAATTTGTGAATGAAAAATGTAGATATCATTGCTCTGAAGCTAACCATGTCCATAATTTTCATTTATATTTCCTGAGCTTAGAGAATTTTAAGTTTGAATCTCTGAAAAAATTAGGTCAGAATTTGGTACCATTTAAAATTCGTGTTCATCTTTGAGTGTTAGCTTAAGTTATTTACATGGTTGGATTTGTGATGAAATTTCCAGCAACTTTCATATTTATACTTTTGAAAATGGTTGAGAAATGAGAGATATAGCAATTTCAAAAAATCACGTTAAAGGTATGGCGCGAGGTTGAAGATAATGCAGGCCTGGGAACGTGTTTCAAATATATATTTATAGTTTTGTATTAATAAACAGATGTATAGCCACCCCAGTGGTAACAGCACACGCTCGTGACTATAGGGACCTGGGTTCGAGCTCTAGTGGTACCCTTTTGTTTTTTTTTTCTTATTTCAGGTTCAATGCAAGCTAAGCTAGCGCGTGTACCATGTACCTTTCTCCACTACCATTAGATCAGCCAAACCATTAAATCCAACACCTTACATGCATGTCCCCATGATGCACCCTTCAAGGTTGCCCACACTGGATCACCAGAGGGCACTGGATTTGTTTTGGGCCTGGAGCATTTTTTGGCTTCTCCCCCCCCCCCCCCCCCCCCCCCCCCCCTTGTTTTGTTTTGGACACATGTCCATTTATTTTGTTTTCTGACTTGAAAAAAAAAATACTTTTGGGTCTAGCGCCCCTTTTACTATTATTAACCACCATTTCTATTTTTTAACCCCCCTAACTTTAATTGTTATATTTTATTTTATTTTTTTCTATTTTATTTTTTTTTTTTTTTTTATTAAATAAAATATAACAAAATATTTTAAATTTATTATTTAGATATTTAGTATATTTTCCATTTAATTTCTTTTAGATAAAAAGACCAAAAAACATTCCTTTAGCCAAATTCTTTTCTTAATTAAATTAATAATTAGACTTAAGTTTATTTTATTTTCTTTTAACTAAAATTAATTTAGAACTTAGGACTTTTAAATTAATTAAATTTGTATACTAGTTTAATTTAATTAAAACTTTTTTCACAAATAAAACCCTAAACAACTTATTTTCTTAAATAAATTAATCTCTTTTATTAACTTAACTTTAATTTTCTTATTTTAGTTAATTATTATTTTTTAAGTTAATTAGGTCAAAACTATTTTTCTTAACAAAAATCTAAAACAAAATCCATTTCCTATTCCATTTATATCCTTGTACATTCATTCATTCTTGTACATTTAATTCTTGT